AATCCTATTACAAAATCTGATATCTGAATTCGATTCAATATTCGACAGATATTGAAAATTAATATTTGAATTCAAATTTGATTAAATATTTGAATATTCGATTCGATTTGAATCCAACCAATTAACTATTTTAGGTAATTAATAAATATTTTATTTATATAAATTATACATATGATTTAATTATTACATATAAATTATATAAAACATTTAAATAATTTCTATATTATATATAAAAATTAAATAATCGGTCGAGTTCGAATATGTATCGAATCGAATTAGGTCATATCCAAATTTGAATTCAATTAACTATTGGATATAAATAGAACATCCAAATTTGACCGATTAAATATTCAAAATTTCCAAGTTTAATTCGATTATGTCAAATCTCAAATTTAAAATCAAATTTTAGAATACCGTTAACACTCCTACTGCTGCACAATTAGTCGCTAAGTATGTTTTAAGTTGCACTAGAATTGTCACTTGCTACACCGGACCACTCCCCATTTTGTGAACACTGTATGAACTATGAAGGGGTATTACAAAAAATAAATCACGCAACCCATATTATTGATACAATGGATACTTCATAGTTAAACATCTTTCGTTCTTTTGCATGATATATCAAAGGTATAACTGTGGATTGTTTATTTGTCGTATTGATGGTTCATTTTAATGGAGAGAATTATCTTTACAAAAAAAAAAAAAAACATGTGTGGATTGGGCGGAAGAGTTTTAAGGTTGATTAATGGTGGGCTGCCCAAAATGTTTTCAGACCGTGTCACAAACCCTTTGATGAAGAGTAAGAAAAATTGGAAGAAGAAAAAGGATATAAGAGATGGGAAGGGAACTCTAATGATTATTACATAGACATGAAGGTCTGTTTTAGCACTAAAGACATCTTCCTTGTAAACTCAATGAAATGCCTATAGCGGCCTCATCAGTTTAACTACCTCTGGAGTAGAGAGCTAGGCATGTCGCATGGGATAGAGCTTTTGGACCTGCATTGGTCCGTTAACCAACCATTCTGCATTAAACACCTGAGTTCTTCACAGAGTGCTCTTCACACCAACCTTACAATATATCTTCGCCACACATTGGGAACATCTCCTATCTTCGCCACACATGGAGAGATGTTCCCAATACAAGGTGGGATGTGGCTGTGAGGTTGGTGTGAGACGTGCCCTGTGAGAAGCACATCCTAATTCGCATTGACTTTGGAGAACCTTCTTCGGTGTGAGACGTGCACTGTGCTCTACGATGTCGCTAATTGTCTCTTTGGAGATATCTGATAAAAATGAAATGATACCATGTCCCCTACCATTCCTGAGGTCATTCTTGTCCATCTTAGAGATCCCTTTCCAATAGGGTTTCTTTTGTGTGTGTATGTATATATGTGCATATTTACAGGGAGTGGGGTATGCATATCAGGCTTGGGCTCGCTGTTTCAGCACTCATACGCATTAAACTTTCTGTGAAATGAACATTCCAAGTTTAATGGTTTGCTTGATCCCTAATTTCCAAGTTCAACAGTTAGGCAGTTAATCCTTCCCCGCATTAGTAATCCTTTATTTTAGGTAGGTATCAAGTAATTCCTCATTAAAACACAAGTCATTTAAGCCCTGCTAATACATAATAGGTGTTCTTCTAAGATCTACCTTGATAATAGTTCTTATTAATAGGGGTGAGCAAATGGGGTAGGTTATATCAGAAACCGAATGGAATTAACCTCGAACTGGCCTTGAACTAACCCTACTCAATCTGTTCTTGAAACTGACCAATACCTAGATTGGTTCCAAGATCTTGGGTTTATCCTACTTGAACCGACCTGATGAATTGACCTTGGTTGGCCTTGGTGGAACCTGTCTTGAAATCTAACTTGCCTTGAAATAAACCCCAAAGTACTTTTGGGGATGTGAAGATTTAAACCAAAGTAATCATGATTACAAAAGCCATGGTCTCACTTGACCATTGAGTTACTTAACTTATTTGATCATTTGTTTTTATTTTAATATTTGAATGCGTACAATAAGTAATATAAAAGGTAATGGTGATGCATGATCTGGTTGCTCCTATCTGGAAGGCAGCTCGGATGTTGGATTAACATGTGGCCGGTCAAACTACAAGAAACACAATATCAGAGGTCCTAGGGTGCTTTACCTGGTATGAACATTAAGATGCTTAAGTTAGCAAAGAGTGTTGTAGTGAGTTGATTTGCTTCGAGAGTAATAGCAAGTGAGAGCTAAATCGCGCGTACCTATGAGGTTAGAGGTGATGCCCTTATATAGGCAACCTGTCTTAGGCCTCACGAAACATATCCGAAATCTCCAGCCCACGTAACCAAGAGCCCATTTCACACCTGAAGATGGACTTCGTATGGGTTGATAAGGCTTATCGAGTCTGTCCGATTCGGGCGGGATAAGGATAGGGCTCGCTGACATGTAGTGTGATCCCAAAAAGATCAAAGACGGCTGCCTAGCTTCTAAAAGAGGTTTGCATGGCACCTTGGCAGGTCGGGACACCACAAGCTGCTCAGACTTCAGTCTTAGCCGAGGTGCCCACGCTGACCTGGCTTGCTAAGGTGTTTGGAAATGCTAAGCTGTCAACTAATCATCGGGCCGCTCCACGTGTCCATGTACCAACGGGTTGGGCCAAATTACCCCTGATCAAGTAATATTTACAAAATTTAAATTTAAACTATAAGTTTTGAACCACATAATAACAATCTACATATTAAGTTACTCAATTTAATCAATAAAGACAATATAAATTTTAAACTATATATTATCTTTATTGAAAATCAAGTTTTTAAAGAACATGCTTCATTTTTTTGAAGGGGAGTAAAGAAAAAACAAGTTCCACAAGTAGACCATATTTTTATTTATCCCAATCCAATTGATAATTCGGTTGAATTCAGTCTATACTGGCTCTAATATGAAATTATGGGCATAATCCTATAGGTTCATAAGGTTCTGTAAACTTTATTCCATTGAAATTCCTATTTGTTAATAGACTTTTATAATTATATGACAAAAGAAGTTTTGTAAATGTAATAATAGCTCATAATAGGGGTGTTCAAATTTGGTTGATAAATCAAAAACCGAATCGAACCAAACCAAATAAGCAAGTTCGGTTCGGTTAATTCAGATATCAGTTTGGTTCAGTTTTTATAATAAAAAACTCAATTTTTGGTTTCGGTTCGGTTTGGTTTGGTTGATATTTTCAACCAAATCGAATTGAAAACTGAATTAGTGTTTATTTAATAAAGTATATTAAATATTTAATGTGATCTATTTAATACTTTATGCTAATTAATTATTATATTTCCCAATGACCAATTTTGCAATTTCCCATTGGGCTTTAATTTTTTGTGAATAACTTTTAATTAATAATTGTTAATTAAAACCTAGATTAATTATTAATTATTTTTGAAAAAGGCCCAGTTCGCCAATTCCCCATTGGCATTGGGCTTTGGGTATAACTTTTAATTAATAATAGCTAATTAATTAAAACCATTGGGTTTTGGGGCCATTTTTAACTTTTAATTATAAATTATTTATTAGTTGTTGATCAGTGTTTGTCATTTATGTGGAATTAGGGCCCAATCGAACAAAAAACCAAACCAAACCAAACCAAGCCAAACCAAATTTGGTTTGGGTCGGTTCGGTTTTGAACTCTAGTTCAATTTGGTTAGAGAAAATTGTCAAACCAAACAGTCAGTTAGGTCCTCAATTCTAACCGAACCAAACTGAACCAACCAATTGTACATCCCTAGCTCATAATTGTTGTTGTTATTACATTTCTTGTTATTTTTGTTGTCAACAATATGAGTCATGTTTGGTCATTCCATTCTAGTCAATGCCATATCCATTGTTAAATTGTTGGCACTTAAATCCTTTCCTACTACTTTGACCCATGTCCTTTTCTAGCTAGCCCCTTCAACTTGCCACAAATCATTTCTTATTCCTAATACTTTGGCCCATGTTCTCTCATTTTATCACCTGTCGAATGACTTCATTTTTGACCCCATCATTTCTAATTTTCCACTCATCCATCCCATGACATGCATTTCTGCCACACTCATTTTTTGGACATGTTTCTTTGACTATCCAACATATGCAACCTCAGTGAAGGAGGTCAAGGTTCAAAACTTTCAACTTGAAATTCAAAAGGGGCCCAATCCAACGTTCAATAGGGTTGGGGTGGTAAAAGTTGTAAGGCCCGTCTCAGCACAGATTGGATTTAGGTCGATTCTTTGGCCAATCCAATCTGAGCCTTGTTTTCTTTTCTTTTCTTTCTTTTGAGTCCCAAATAACCCATCCCCCCCTCCCACACACACCCCTCCCGCTCATGATGATCAAAGAAAACAATTCATTTTTCACAACCTTATATTGGATCCGGATGTAGTAGACACATTAGGTAAGCACAATGAGTGAGCACGTAATAGCTGTGTGACACATGTCCCAGTTAATGCACCTTTCATCCAAACGTTTTTGCTCCGTTAGACAGAAATTATCCATTATTTCATTATTTTTGTCAAAATAATTAAAAATAAAAAACAATGAAAAAGGAAAATGTAAATGAGTCCCCAAACCAACACATTTAGGTTTTCCTTTTTTATTGTTTTCATTTTTAATTACTTTGACAAAGATAATAAAATAATGGATAATTTCTGTATAATGGAGCAAAAACGTTTGAATGAAAGACGCATTAACTGGGACATATGTCACACAACTATTACGTACTCACTCATTGTGCTTACTTAACTTGCCTACTACATCCGGACCCCCTTATATTACCAGGTTGGATCCATTAACGCAGTGAAAAAACTTTAAAATGGGGAGCAAAGAAACTAATTAAGATTTAAGAAAGGGAGAAGAGGCGTGATACTTATGCCCCAACTTCCAAATGTGTAGAAAACCCAAACATGAAAGTGGACTCCTTAGAAATTTATATTGATAAAACAACTCAAATTAAGTAAAAATTCTGTTTATATAGCATCCAGTTGCACATTGGGAATATTTCTCCTATATATATGTCAAATTTATAGATGTTCTCAACTTATAGCAAGATTTCCATACTTTCACAGTTCATAATTTCCAGTGGAAAAATAAAAAGATTTCAGAGAAATTAAAGATGGCTTATGCAAACACATTATACAAAATAAGGTACACGATGGCATCAGCTGCCACCGATCTTGGTCTATTCAATCCAGACTTAATTCATTGCGACATTCACCATTGATGGTTGACTTCATCAGCCACTCGATCGCAAGGCGAGATCAGGGGTTCATGTTGCCTGCCTTCCTCCAATCTCTCTAGTTTGCTCTTTGATGGTTTCGCATTTCTGTAAATTGCATAGAGCATCAGCTGAGCTGCACCAAGTATAAATCCTGTACCGTTCGGAATCTGTTCAGCAAAAACCGCATCGTTACGTCACTTTGCCCATATTATAGGAATGATGCATTTTTCTTTGGACATAAACCTAAGGAGAGTGATGAATCTTAGAAATGTAATCAATGAACTCGTTCATAGGGGTGTTAATGGACCAGATTTTGGGTTATATCCGTCCAAATAAAAATTGATTTAAACGGTTTGGATGGACAAATAAGACATGAATTGGATCAGTCCAGACTTCAGTCAGAGCAAAGCCTGTTCAAACAACTTTTACAGTCTTACATCGGGAACATCTCCTTACTTGTGTACTTTACTTCATGGGTAGATATTTCCAATGCAAGGTTACAAGAGGCTGTTGGAACAGTGTAAGCATGTGCTTGCTCTGACTGAAGCCAAATTCTTGGATGAGGTTCCAGATGGAATTAATCTAAATTAAAATCAATTTGAACAGACTATATAATTGGGACATTGAATTCAAGTGATCTAAAATGGTCCAAAATATTCATCAGATTGGATTGGACTTGATCCATCTGTAATGATCATATTGGACCAGATCGGATTGGACCATAACCAGTCCACTTGATACCTCTACCCGCTCATATATTAGTGGGGCATGACTTATTATCAACTTTATCTAAAGAAAAGTTTAAGCATGCATACCTCTATAGATTATATTTACTTGTGTAAGGGCACATGTTCAAGTAAAGATAGGGAAACACATAAGGTATGATATTTTTATTATTTAACTTTCCACTGCTCACACTATGGTGGCAGGTAGACCTTTTCCTTTGGTGGCTTTCACTCCTCCAGGTAGCCTTTTCTGTGACGAATTTCACTCTACTCTAGGTATCCCTTCTCCTAGGTAGCCCTTTGTGATTCGAACTTGTGATGTGGTGGTAGGTTCTGATACCAAATGTTATGTGTTTGACCAATATGCCTAAAGCCTTAAGACTGGTAGAATGCATCAAGCCAAGCACTTTAAACATTTAGGATCGTTAAAAGTTCATGTTCAGGTCAGGGGCAAGGTCCATGTTTAGGGTTGATCTTGGGTTGGTTCTTAACTGTGAATCAACTTATCTAATTTATACCCTTAATTATCAAAAGGATAATTAAGAGGAAATATAAGGGATTCAAGAAAAAAAGGGAGATGATACAAACATTGACGATTGGGGTGGGGGTCTTGAGTTGGCCATTAACCTAACCCACTTGCATCTAAGTTACACCCCTACTATATTAGAGAGAGAGAAAGAGAGAGTAATGGTTGCTTTTAATGATGATCATGCCCTGTTTGTTTCCATTAATCTCTTATATTTGAGAAAGTAATGGTTGCTTTTAAAAGTACCTTGAAATTTGTGTATCTTTAAATTTTGTTAAAATCTGATTGTCGAGTACTGAAAATGATAATATGCCATTTTGCTCTTAGGGAAGAGTATATTAAGCAATTTAATAAAATGATTATAAAATTAATAAAAAGACTAAAAATTAGTAAAATTATTTAACAATTAAAATTTTGTTAATTTATGAAACGATTAAACATCAATAAAGCTTATTAAAAATTAATAAAATAGATTTAAAATATAAAGAATAATTAAAATTAATAAAACAAATAAAAACAACAAATGGTTAAGAATTGTAAAATTATTGTATATAATAGAGATTGATTAATAAATTATTAAATGATTAAAAATAGTAAATGACTAAATATTTAATATATGAATAGAAAATCTATGAAATGCTTAAAATGTTAAGAAAATAATTATTCCATTTTATATTAACCATACATAAAACTATTATTATGGTTAATATATGGGTTGTAAAAAGCAAAAGCAACCAAAGGGAAAAACGAGAATTATATGTATGATAATAAAAAAAAAAGCGTTCAACAATTGGTCATGTCGACATCCCTTATAGACAAGATTGTGTCTTCTAAGCTTGGCTAGAAGGATGTCAGCAATGGTGAGTGCCTCAGCTTCTCCATGAGATCTTACGCTATGAGTAACTTCTCCTTGAATTCGAGGCATTGTTGAGTGCCTCAGCTTTATTTCTGGATTCAAACAGATTCTCTTTTTTAGGTCCTAACAACATTAAAATGAATAAAAGGGTAACCAATCAATTTTCCTGGATTCAGCATGGAGTGGGAAGATTTCTTGCTACTCTCTAAAACTCCAAATGTATTCCATAAATTTATTCTTTGACAATGACAACTTCATGGGAGATTTCCATTAGGGACAATTTGGTCCTTCAAGTTTTATCGGTTGGAGTTAATGTTTGGAAGGTAAGTTGTTTTTGAAAGTTCAGGATATATATATATATAAGTATTTTCTCAAATGCACAAAGTATATATAAATAATCGTCCCTATTTTTAATGATTTAATTTAAAAAAAAAAATAGTAATCATATCTAAGAAATGAGCATTGAAATGAGATGACTCGTGGCCAATTTTATCAAAGCTTTACTGACCCAGACCCAGGTAGTCAAACCGTTCAACATGGAAACCTGCCACTGTTCTAGTTCTGTTTAACATCTAGGCCATTATGTTGCAAATAAATAAATTGGTCATCAAACCATTTGCCCGAACAATCTAATAATCATCAAACCGTTCAACCCGGAGAGTGGTTCACAGTTTAAAAACAAAATACTGAAATACTTTTTAAGAAGTAAAATAACAGAAAAAAAAATTCCAAGAAGTAAAATAAGCAACGTCCTCCTATTCCGTCCTTTTTCTCTCCTTTGTTTGTCTTCTTATTCTTTTTCTTTCTTTCTTCCACAACCACCCTTCTCACTCTCTCCTATCTAAAAGTATGCAAATATGACCTATATATCTTCGTAACCTAACCTAATATTCTAATCTAATGTTCAGGATGCAATATACACCTATAAATTGAATTCATCAACTGTTTTGACTTACTTGTCTTGGATTAGGGCTGTTCATAAGAATGCCTAACCCGACCAATCTGGACCGATCCAACCCAAGTCGGCTAGGTTTTCATCAGTACCGACCGGTTTTGGGTTGGGCAAATATATAAACCAATGTATCGGGTTGATTTCGGTTTTTTTGTGTGAAAACCGAAACCAATACAACCCAAACCGAACTAGTACTAATTCGGTAGTTCCTAGTTTGAGTAGTTTCTTACTTAACTATAACTAGTCTTCTACTAGAACTAGAAGGCCCATTAGGCAATCTATCATAGTTTCTAATTTTTTATAGTCTTTTACACCAAATAGGCAACCCATTAGACAATTACAACTAGAATTCAATTAGGTGTCCTTTTGTACAGGAGCAAAACCGAAACTGACCCAACCCGACTCAAACCAACTAGGTCGGTTTGGCCTATTAGTGGGTCGGTTTCAATTTCCACCTCAGGTAACCCGACCAGATCGGGTCGGTTGGGAAAACCCCAATAAACCAACCCAACCCGACCTGTAAACACCCCTACCTCGGATATTGACTGCTGACCTGGGAATCAAAAGAAAAAGCGATTCATTTTACAGGTTGATTTTTAAAACATTGCTCTGTGTAATGTGGATACTGAAAACAATAGTTAATAAAGAACTGAGAACTGACTCCGACGAAGTAATCCCCCATGAGCGCCGCATATACAGCCCAAGTGCCTCCATTTAAGAAAAGGAAAAACGAGAGAAAGAATGGCATGTACTCCACACTCTTTGTCGTGACCACTGTTTTCTGCACAGTTTTGACATGTAAATGATCATCAACATTACACACTATAAAATACTATTTGTATAGATGTGGAAAGCCCGATGGCACCGAGAATTCAAAACAGTCAAGAAGCAAAGGGTTTTAAAACTGGAACGGACAAGGAATCTGGGTCAAGCAGTCTGACCGTTGGGATTGAATGGATAGTTTGTTCTGAAAACCATTATAGTTTACTGACCAAATCACAATTTTTGGCCAAAAAATGGATTTAAGGTGAAACATAATTGATTCTCAATTTTTCCAGTTCAACCATCCAGTCCGGTTCAATGCGTCTTATCTTGGAGCCCGGATGCCAACTGATGATCTCAAAGCCAGGCCCGTTGCCGGATTTCGTTTGTTAATTTTTTTTTGGAAGGCATTTAGTTTGTTAATTTGGGCCATTTATTTAGACACCCCCGTATAATTGTGTGTATTTATTAAAAACTACCTAAAATTTGCATATTACTTAGACACCCAATATAATTTGAAATTCCTTTACTTTGCACTGTTTTTTCTTAAAAGGTACATTGATATGTATAAGTTGCTTTCAGAATAAATACATCCGGGCCCATATCTTTTGCTATTCCTGTCAGGTGATTATTTCCAATAAAAGCAATTATATATTAAATAAAAAAGAAAAAGAAAAAATGATTGTTCAGCCTATTTCAGAATTCTTAGCCACTACCGTGGGATGGATACTTAATAGAGTCTATATCCTGATTATGGGAGGAAAGGTTTTAGTAAATAGGTTGAACGGGCGTTGCCTCCAAGTCCGGTGACCCCCAGACACCCAGAGTGGTTGCTAAGCTATGCATCATTGCACGCACCCACCGTGGTCCGTGGTTATCCACCATGATCGTCAGGACCAGCCGATTCCTCATGAGTCAAGGAACAGGGTTCACCACTGCACCTGCTCAGAGAGCATTCATTTTCTACCAGTTTTATACCAGCCTAGATCTAACGGGCTGAGTCAAGGAGATGTTTTCTCCACCTGCTCAAATATTCATTATCTACCAGTTTTTGTAGCAGCTAGATGATGAGCTGCAGCAGGCAAACCACCATGGCCATTATGAGAACTGAGAAGAACAAGTTCTTACCATGACTGCGAGGGGAGAAGCATACATAACTATGTTGAGGCCTGCACACATGATTCCTATTACATCGATACGCAGATCTCCATGCATTGCGAAACGAGTTACTCCGATCGCTGCTGCTAGAGATCCAACATCCATAATCCCCAGAAGAATTGCGGTATTTGCCTGCAAGACATATTCAATCAGAGATAATTAATGAACATAGGATGATGGTGGTGGTGATGACTTACCCTTATCTTTGCCGGTGCAAATATAAGGAATATCAAAATATAGATAGTTTCGGCCACAACGCCGAAACCGTTGACAGTGGCAACGAGTATGGCACCGGGCTTCACAATTCCATAGTAAGTCCACAAGGCTGAGTTTAACAGGGTGCAAATGTAGGGAAGGCTCTCAAAGTCTTCCGTCGATCTGTTCTTCACGATTCGCCAGAACGTCCCTCTGAAATTACAGTGACACTAGTATTCAAATTCACGTTCAATATTCTAGTACTGAGCATCAATTAATTCTCGTCACTGAATTATTATTATAATGAGGAGATGCTTCTTACATTGGGGAAAGGAAGACTAAAACAGAGATGATGTTGCCTGCAAAATCAAAGTAATACAGCCCCGATGAGATTAAGAGTCTTTCACGGCAGTACATAAATAAATACAAGGAATGAAAAAAAAAAATAGCTAAAGAGATCTAATTTCTAACCAATGACACCAATAATGAATCCGACGCTTTCAGTTTCAGCCATCTTCAATTTGCAAAGAAGGAAAGTATACGTCCGGGGGATTTGCAGAAGGAAGATATAGAAGAGTAGGTGAGGTAACTGCCAACTAGCTTGCTAATCGAGTGAACTCCGGCCGGCCGGACGGTTTCAATCTAAGAAAAGATTGAAGAAGACGCCACAGACCCGTCGCCGGAGAGTCACGGCTGAGTATCGGAAAAAAGCCTCTTGAAGGAGCTTGATTCCAGAGGAGAATTTGCGATCTGCAAAGGAGTTTTGATCTGAAATCACTCCCAAGAGTGTAGGAGACATAATTGAGCCTGGGGAAAGTTGATACTTGATAGTTAAAAGGCTTAAAACAAGCAAAGTTGTGGGCCAATCAATGCCCGAAAATCGGCCCAAACACTGAATCAGGGCCGTTGATTTATTGATATTGCCCTTGATATAGGGGCCCACAGCACAGCAATACCAATACACGTACACTCAGGTCTGTGATTTCGCGCACGTTGGCTAGAACCACGTAGCAGCGAAAGTTGATTGGTCGATGGCTGTCGCATCGCAGGAGATAAAGAGCAGGTGACATCCACAGAGAGTGGTATTGACATGTGACACTTGACAATGACAACCTTAGGGTTATCTTTGGTTTGAAGGAAAAGGTAGGGAATCCTATACCAGGTTTGTAATGGTTTTGTCAACTTTCCCTTTTTTTCCTACTTTTTTCCTTCAAACCAAACACAACCTAACGGTATAAGGGGCTGTGGAATCAATAATCAGGGCTGGATTCGAGCCGAGCCGAGCCGAATAGTATGAGGCTCGAGCTCGAGCTCGGCTCGAGTCAAAAACCTATAAGCTCAAGCTTGATTTGAGAAAAATATTTTATAAAAATAAAAAATTATATATAAAAAATTATTATAATATTTTTATTATATATTATTTTTTATATATATTTGAGCTCGACTTGTTTATTAATCGTGCATATAGATTAGGTTCAAAGCTCGATTGAAACCGAATCGTCGAACTTGAATAATTCGTGAAGAGCTCAACTTGTGGCCACCCCTACAAATAATAACACTCTTAGCCCCATTTTTTAAAAGACAGGTCCGGAAAATTATCATTGGTCCCACAGCCTACTTTTGATGTACTATTGTACAATTTCAAGCCAACTGTTCTCAAAAGAAAATTGATATAATTTGAGCTCTGTTGTGGTTAAATTGATAAATAAATAGGACAAAACAAACTGTGAGAATGATAAGGGAGATATTTAGAACTTTGGACATCACATATATTTATTGATGAAATTGATGTCATCGGCGAAAGAATAAATGCAGACCATGAAACTAAAGAGAGCATTCAAGAATAGAAATTCTAAATATTCATGTTTGCAAAAGCAAAACTTGAAACTCGGCGAGGGATTCAATTGGTGTTTGCCCTGATGCGGGGATGTCGGTAAAACGTAAAATAAACGAAGCAAATAAGCTTTTTGAGTCAAGTGCTCCTACGGATGCATATATATCAGAAAACACAGGCTGCTATATGCTGGTAAAGTCATGGATCACAAGCTGGAAATTTTAGCATAATTATTTTGAGGGGTCGGGGTTACTGTCTGCCAACTGTGCCAAGAAAATCAAGTTGGATGATGATAATGTAAGGGTTATTTTCAAACCAAACACAGCCTTCTCGTAAAACCGTCAGTGGGCTGGATCCACCCAATGGACCCGAACTGACCAAACTGATAATAATAGTTTTAGTTTCAATGATTTTGTTTCAAATAATAATCGAGTCAGTTCCGATTCTTGCCTATTCCAAACCGATTCAGACACAAAATCCGTTATTATATATATAATATCTATGTTATCAAAATTTAAATTAAATTATTATTTAAATAAACAAATCTAGTTTTCAGTATAATAAAAGACTCAATAAATCCAATTGATGGAGGGTGATTTGGCCTGACCTCGTAGCAAGGTGACAACTCGGCGTAGTCAGCTCGCTACAAAATAATACTCCACTACCCCGAGCTAGGAGTTCTTCGAGCTGAAATCATCCTGAGCTAAGGGCAATTCGGTACTCATTCCGAGCTAAGGGCACTTTGGTACTCATCCCGAGCTAAGGGCACCTCGATACCAAGTCGCAACTTTAGTACATAATTCAGTTCGAGGTGTATGACCCTGAGCTCAAGAACATCAGTTCGAGGTAGAAACCAGCTCGGGTATATCAATCTGCCTTCGATATAATCCCGAAAGTCTCTCCAACAATTCCCGGATTCCGCGGGATCACGCCTCGTAACAACTAAGCATTATCTCCCCGTCCGATCAGGGCAGAAGTGATTAGCCTTATCAACTCACAAAGTTATCTCTAGATAACACGGAAACAACTTTTATCGTGGCAAAGATCTCGGAACTACTCCGTAAAGCCTGCGAGGATTCCATTATATAAAAGCCTCCCTTCCGGGGCCAAGGGACACGTATTTTTACTGCTTACTAGCTCTCTTGCTCTTTGATTACCCTCAGCTCGCATAAACTGACTTAAGCATCGGAGCGATCTCACCGAGTAAACACCCCCGAGTTCTCTGATTTTCTGTGCAGATTTTTCACGTTCGTTATCTACTGGAAGCTAAGCCACCGCGAACTAGGAGCAGCCAGATTGCATAGTATCACCAACTATTAACCAAGATGGATTTAGGTCCTATAATTTTGACTTTTTTCCCAATTAATAATGGATGCGAAAGTGATTCTATTTAGACCCAATCCAATGGCAGCCCTGGGCTTAGGTGCTTTTATTTCAACGTTATTATAGATATGCTACAGTAATATGTTTTGGAGTTTGTGCTATTTTATTATTAAACCTCCAGTTTTTCCATCATCTTCACCACTAATAATTCAGCTTTTTTTTTTTAAGTTTTTTATAAGTCCATTAAAAAATCTGCTTGTGCAAACAAACTTCGTTACTGCAAGCCTGTAATATAGCATATCTGAGGAAAAGATAACACTATGATTAGGGATGTTCATAAGAAGGCCCAATCCAACCAAACCGATCAAACCGCATCGACCCAACCCGGGTTTTGTGTGAAAACCGAAATCGATCCAAACTGAACCGACTTAGTTCCTAGTTCAAATATGAAGTTCCAAAGCCCATTAGGCCACCTAGTTTTTTAATGGTCGCAAGAAACTTTGGATTAGTGAATAGTGATTAATGAACAAATTTTGTGATTAACTTTTCATTTAAATTTTATCATAGGAGATGGTTGAAATGATGTTCAATTTATAATTGTTTTTAAAATTAGCAAGATTTTATCACAGGGATGAACTTAGAACCGAAACCGACCCAACCCGACTCAAACCAACCAGGTCAGTTTTGCTTAACACTGGGTCGGTTTCGGTTTCTATGTCAGGTAACCCGACCAGGTCGGGTCGGTTGGAAAAACCACAGTAAACCGACCCAACCCGACCCATGAACAGCCCTAACTATGATAGTTACTTCTCTTGTCGCTTTTACAGATTTTTGCTTTTAAATACGGGGATGCATGGAATGATAACTTTTATCCATGGTTTTTAAAACCGGATTGGACCAAACAGTTCGACTGGAAAAACAGAAATCGATCACTTGACTGTTTCTGTTTTACCTTAGAATCGTCTTTTAGCTAAAAACCATTGATTTGATCAGAAAATCGTTAACTCGAACGGTCAAATCCTTCAAACCATTCAAACCGTCCAATATAACTTGTGATATTCAGTCATAGATTTTAATATTGAGTGCAAATATAAATATACAATGTAAAACTTTGTATATAGTATTTTCTAAATCTTATATTTGTAATCTTCTCAAACTGAGCCTAATTGCTCTATTTCAAGCGCCTAATTGTTTTATCTCAAGCTTCATTGATAAATTATTTATTCGAGTAAATGCATTTATCCGACAAGCATTTCTTGGAAAACATTTATCCGAATAAGAACACTTACCAATGTTCTTCTACGTCCCAGATAAAAGTGTACAATGACTAATTTATCTAAAAAAATGATATTATTAAAGGGATAATATTGTCCTATCACGTAATAGTGATTTTCAACGCATATGATTAAATAATTTAGTTAAATCTGAGGAAAATATTACTTCCCTAGTAAATGGACCGCTCAAGAACTATATATGAATACAATTTTTTTTTGTGAGAATTGCCAACTTACCTGCCCCCACTTCTCGATAAACAAGCGAGACCTTAATGTAGGGTTAGTGACCTAATAGAAGAGATGATCACCTCGCATCCCTCCAAATATAAGGTGTGAGATCAAACCTAGCATAAGTGCAGGTTTTCCATAATTATATATGGACCTCACATCATGCACTCAAATGTACTTGCTCATAACTAATATATGATTCAAGAAAAAAGAAATGCTAATATGCAAAAAAAAAGAAGCAAAAGGAAAGATAGCAAACGTAAAATCTATGGTGACAGAAAACACCACACGGAAAGAGTTCTAACCAATCAAAACCCCATAAATTTGAATTCATATATGCGTCCTACAAGGTTCATTTGGTTTGCTGGAATAGGGGTCTGGAATCGGAATCGGAATCGGAATGTCCAACTGTTTGGTTGAGTAGAATCGGAATCTCATTTTCATTCCTATAGGAATGGCATTCCCCCATTTGAGGGAATGGCCATTCCCTGCCCCTCCCTTGGGAATGAAATCCCATTCCTGCTTATTTTAATTCCCATTCCGATTTCTATCTGAACCAAACAGACTATGGGAATGGACCATTCTGATTCCGATTCCGGAGGATTTTGATTCCGATTTCAATTCCAATTTCAACTACGGACCAAACGATCACTAAGAACATCTCTTAGTGACAACTTCGGAAATTATTCCCAATGCATACTGAGATGTACATGCTGAGTGCCCCAATGCCCATGGGATGCGTGGGGGCACAGATGTGACCTTATTAAATTTATTAAAAAATATCACTTCATTGGTTTCATATTGACACCCTACAACACATCCCAATCGTGTACAGAGAACATCTCCCAATGAAAATTGGTCACAAGTTATTTCAATCAAGGTTCAAAATATTGATATGCCTGATACACCGTTATGGGCGTATTGGGCGAATTGATACAGTTTTTGGTACTTTTTTTTTATTTTTTTCGCAACTGGTTCAGGGGAGCCAATTTAGGCTTCCTCCACACCCTGAACCGGTCAGACCCCTGATACACCCACTGTAGGGGCAATATCGGAGGGTTCCCAGAACAACACGTATCAGTAATCAATACTTTGAACCTTGATTCCAATATCTACTAAAACCCAAAACAAA